GCTCTACATGGAGTAAGTGAAATCCATTGAATATAAGCTGGATTGAAAAAACTAACTTGCTGTAAAGAGCCGTTGTATTCTGTTTACGAAGAACAAAATGCCTTGCAAACTAGACGAGTTGCACTGATGCTTCTTAAGAAGCACGTAAAGCACCTATAGCGTGGGAATTTCATGCATCCAGGATCATCAAAGCATACTTCAAAACGAATAAGGGAGGATTGCAATGAATGTCATCCGATGCAAAGCACCCACTAATTATATTAACGAAAACGACAAAGACCAGTTTTGTGAGAGGCTTCCTTCAGTGGACCATAGAAACATGGACTGGGAGAAACGAATGAAAATGATGAGAGACTGTCAAATTCATATGCTTTTAACAAAATGGTTTTTGCCGACACCTTTTATCCAACATACACATACACAAAGCAACATTGGTTTGGTCTAACCACGCTGAGGAGATCCATATTGACCACATCTGTATCAATAAGCAATTCATAAAGTCCATAGAAGATGTAAGATGAAGGAGAGGAGTTGACGTGATTCAGATCACCGACTGGTAGTGAACAACATTAAGATGAAAATAAAGAAACAGTAAACAACTGGAGAAACATCATTATGGTAACTTTATAACCTCTTTTCTTCGAAATACTTATAGGTTCGACAAATTGGTGATAGCGGTGGTAGTCAAGATAATATAGCAAACATACTACAATCAAGTGCGATTATAGCCAATTTTGGTTAAGCCCTTTTATAACTTACTTAACAGACCTTGTCATTTGGAATGTAACAATTTACATATTCTTTGCACTGCTATACCATTAGAGCACATGACACTCTATCCGAAATGTTGACTGCTTAAATATCATTCGATGACTCATACTCCTCCCCAAATGTGTACGCACGCAAATATTATTATCAGCTTTTGTTTTTCTTTGCTGTGTCCTTATCAAATCTGACTATAAATTGCCTATGTAATTGCTTGCTATTCGCTCGCTTGCTCCTTGTTCGTTTCCTTCGCTTGTTCTCCTTTTCACTCACTCTCTCGTTTGCCGCTCACTCGCTCGGTGATATTCGCTCAGATGTTGTTAACTTTCTAACCTGAGTTATTCGACAACAAACTGTAGCTGCTGCTATCCTTTGTCTTCTGATTTTACGCACCGTTAAATTTAGAATTATAACGGTTATTGAAGTAAACGATTAACAAATCGCGGCACTACAGAATTGGAGGCCTCGCCGTACGAACACAACACTACATAATTGGATGCCGCGACGAGCGAACACAAGACAATTTTCGGCGAGATAATTTCATTTCGAAAATTCAACGTACTCTGTTTCTATTCGAATTATTATCTGGATTATAATCATAATTGTGGATTAATTATATCACAATTTTAATCACACTTACATTATCCCATAAACATTATTGAACTTAACGATAATATTCATAACATATAACGATTATTCACGAACAATTGATATATTGGTACAATTCAGTAAGTTCGTTCTATGTTATAAATTGTACCATTTATTATTATCATTGTTTTCATCCGTCCATCTCTCTTAGTGACAATTACGTTATATTCATATACTATTTAATTTTTTATAAATGTCTTTAAATGACGAAACAATCGATCTTTCACAGTCACCATCCGTGGGAGCTATTAATGTTACTATTCCCTCTTTTAATGTTAATGACCCCGACTTTGGTTTATTAGACTTGAAAATTACTTCGTAGCCAATCACATTCTCTTACAGCGACATAAGTTCGGCTATGCAAGCTCATTGCTTCCAGACGAAATAGCAGACAAGGTGCGAGAGGTCCTAACTAAGCCGGATGCGGTAAATCCGTACGACGTATTGAAACAGGCAGTAATAAAAGCTCTCTCATTAAACGACCGGTAAGCTGTCGAGCAATTGCTCAGTGAAGTGTAGATCGGTGATAGAACGCCTTCGCAATTTAAAACTTATATGAGCAACGTAATTGGAGACAGAAATGTTGATAAAAAATATATTTTACCAGTTATGGTTACGACGACTCCCACCGAACGTGCAGTAAATCCTCGCTGTTGAAGAAAGCGATGTAGACATAGACAACATCGCTAAAAGAGCCGATAAGGTTTACGAGAGAATGAAACACGCGACTCCACAAACGCTCAACTCCACAGTAGATGAAAGAATCGAGGCCTTGAAAAAGGAAATTAATTTGCTATGCCACAAACTAACGAGCTTAAATCACAACGACAGGAGAAGAAGTTGGTCGCGTAACAGATCAAGAGATAGAAATCGATCATTCTCTAAGGGACTCCCATGTCCTGCTATATGCTGGTACCATCAAACATTTGGGTACAGATCTCGAAAATTCAGATCTTCATGCAAATTTAAACGACCCCACCGATTCTCAGTAACGACTACGACAATTAATGCAGCTCCCAGGAACAATCATTTATTTTATGTTCAGGACAGAGTAACGGGCGCGCAATTTTTAGTAAACACGGGACCAGAGATAAGCGTCGTCCCCCCATTGAGCGACGAAAAACAAAATATCGATACTGCGCTAACTCTTAAAGAAGCGAATAGATCCGACATAAAGACATATGGCAAGCAAAAACTAACCTTGAATTTCGGCCGTAATATTTCACTTCGCTGGGAATTTGTGATCGCTGATGTGTCCGTATCCATAATTGGTATCGATTTCTTAAAGAATTTTGACCTATTAGTAGATTCTCGACGAATCCAACTAGTGAATGGAGAACGCTCAGTAGTCATGAAAGGAATGACCACCGATCATGTATCTATGAATTTAGTAATGTAGAAAGATAAGAACGAGCAATATAATTCACTTCTAAATAAGTTTGCCGATTTGACTAGAGCATCGTGCGTCAACAGAGATCCTAAACATACAGTACAGCACCACATCGTCACGAAAGGTCCACCGACTGAGGTAAGAGTGCGAAGGTTGGACCCAAAAAGGTTAAAAATTGCGAAACGAGAATTCGAAAAACTGAAGAAACTTGGTATCATAAGGCCATCTAACAGTCCCTGGGCATCTCCGTTACATATGGTTCCCAAAAAGAATGGAGAAATCAGACCATGTGGAGATTATAGAGCCCTTAACAAGCAAACGATAGCAAATAGATACCCAGTGCCACATATTCACGACATTACCATCGAGATGGAAGGTGCCACGATCTTTTCGAAAATTAATCTTGTTCGGGAGTACTACCACATTCCAGTGGCCCCAGAAGATGTACCAAAAACGGCTGTAATCACTCCATTTGGTTTATTTGAGGGGGATCGTCAGGGCACTCTTCAAGTCACAACTCCATCAGTACTCTTATTTTCTTACTAATCATTCAATCAGCAAACAGTTATGAATTTCATGTAGCAAGATGGCTCAGTAGAATATCAAAGTCGGTATAGGGTTAAAATATAGGTATATTAAATTAGAAATTGTGATCTCCACCAACGAACCACCAACCAGAAGTATTGGGAGTGAGACAACGCATTAACCAGTGACACCTTTATGATCAAAGTGTGCCAACCCAGTCAAATTCAGAAGTCAGAAGCGAAGAGACTCGAAGATATACTTGATAGAACATCGACGAATCGAGAAGTGACTAGCTGTCGTAGGAAATGTGTGGCACGACGTGACCGCTCGTTATCTGATGCGGGTGTGTGACAGAGAGCCTTGAGCTAAGTGATTCCAGTAAAAGTAATGAAGTTAACTCCAAATGTCGAAAACTTACAGAACTATTGGTTTTTGGGATTTATTTACGGCTACAGTTCAAAGTCCCATCATTGCCTACACTAACATATGCTATCCAGTATAAATAACCGTCCAAACGAAAGTCGAATCCGACCACACTGCCCATTTATTCGAAGGACCACATCACAAAAGTTATGATTCACTCATTATTAATAATTTCACTAGGTCGGTGGCACTAACTTGAAGCGAGGGATTTACATGTATTTAGAATACACAAAGGATTCTTTCGAAGAAGTTTCTAGGTCGCGTGCTCTATTTTCGGTTTTTGAAATATATTGAAACCATGATTTGTTTCACTGTATAAACTGATGACCATGTAGATCGGTTGATAAAGCAGTAAGTCACGTAGGTTATTGGGGACATGAGTTGGTTGGGAGTTTGGTATGCGCAATCATCCATTTTCAGTTACACCACTTATTACAAATCTAATTCGGTAATCTGGACTGTAGGAATTCTCAATTATTCTAGTTAATGTATTCCAGTCTCAATTCTATACAACCCACAGAACCAAAACTGAGGAAATAAAAGAAGCGACAAAGTAATTAAAAAGGGAATTGTCGATTTACCTCCTGATGTCAGTTCTTCAAGAAAAATGATAATCTTCCCCCTACGTCGACTATTTAAGGAAGATTGATAGATATATTTCTGTGAAGTACCCAGCTCGAATGTGTAGATGTTAACATACATCTTCAGAAATCTACCATACACACCCAAGGGTTTATGGCCCAGAACTACTAAAATAGTTGAAGCGGTAATGGACAACAGGTGCTTCCACCTAACGCGCGTTCATATCTGTCACCAATGCTTCCCATTAGGGCTTTCCTAAATTTAGATTTAATGTACCCGTTTTACTTTATTCGGATTAAGCAGTTAATTTATAAACGGTATGTAGATGTACTATGCATGTTGCGTCGGTTGATATAAAGTAGTTACCAGATAGTCAGGCGCTTATCCTCTTATAAGTACGGTAAGTACTATGTTTAGAAAACTCATTTTCATGAACGCTATTAATGTACATTTTTTAGGGTTCTAGAGGTGTTATAATAAACGATCTCCACAAGTTATAAAAGCACTGTAACATGTTAGTCAATATGTCGAAAGTATGTCAATGCATTAATAGATATCACTCGGTAACTTAGTCTTTCGTGTAAAAAATCCGTTTTCATATAAGTTCAAAATAATTTTCATATAAGATCCTATTCATTGCCTTACAGGCTAGCGAAATATATTCGGGATGGCATACCTCCGAACTGGTGCGGAGTTTATAGCATCGTATCGTTCCAGTCTTAATCGAATGAGTGATCTTCAACAAAAGATAAAGATGTTCGGATTCAACAATGCTTACTATAATCAGGTCGGACTTTTGAAACATGATTGGCTGCCTCATAGTCCTGTTTGGTGCGAAGCTCTTCGTCGACTTCCACGTGAACTACAGGAAGCTAGGGACTTTCGAATCGCACGAGCGTCGCTTCTCTACGCTTCGAAACATGTTTTGCCGAAAGAACAGTGGACTACTATTGAAGATGATATCCCATACTTGGAGCCGTACGTTAACGTTGTTGTGAAGGAAATGAGTGACCGGTCAAATTGGGATAATTTTGTTAACCCTGAGATATATAGTGGATAAATGTAAATGTTTACATTGTCTGTTAGTGTCAAATTAGTCTAATAAAAGTTGTTGAAAAGCATTGTTCTTATTGTCTTATGTTCTAACCTAGCTAAAAACCTTTTTTCTTCGCAGAAAATGTCCATTTTAACGATCCACGCTCGTCAAATTTTCGATAGTCGGGGGAATCCCACAGTTGAGGTGGATTTGAAAACATCTAAAGGTATGTTGTTAGACAATAAGTTTATGAACCTTTGTCTTCCTTATTCCACTTGGTACACAAATTTTTCACATGTACTAATGTGATCTCACCACTGTCGTTGTACACTAATCATGATAGTAGCTTGGTGTTACGTTTGTCTACCACATTTCGCTCGTTAGTTGTGGTTTTGTCAAGATTAATACTCAGTGGAGAATAGATATCATCTAATATCTTATTATTAATTTGCCAGGTTGTTCCGTACTGGATTTTAAGTTCCGGTTAAAGTTAACTTTGATAATAAATCTTATGTATAGATTCAAATGTAAAAGTGCTTTTTTTGTCCAGGTTTGTTCCGCGCTGCCGTTCCAAGTGGAGCTTCGACAGGTGTCCATGAGGCTCTTGAGTTACGTGATACAAATTCAAAGGCTTATATGAAAAAAGGGGTTTTAACAGCAGTCAGTAATGTGAATAAAATTATTGCTCCAGCTCTAATAAACAAAAATATTCCCGTAACAAATCAGGCAGCTATTGACAAATTTATGATTGATCTTGATGGTACGGAAAACAAGGGTGAGTTAATTGATGACTTATATCCTCGTCACATAAGTTGTGGATAAAGCTATTTGTTAGATTAATTGATTCTTCAGAAGTAAGATAAGTACAATTTACAATTAAGTAACTATCTATTCTCACTTTTAACAATGACGTCAAGTAGTGGAACGGTCTTTCTATAAAACACTTGTGATCGATCTAAAACTTTATTTCGTTGAAAAGGTTTGTATTTCGTCAAATCTTACTTATTCTGAATTAAATGTGAAATCAACTGCCCGTAAACATTTCTTTTCTGTGATGTCGTAATTTTTTTCTTATCGAAAAAACTGTTTTTCTTAAAAAGTGTTAGAAGAATGTTATCACATCTAGATTTTTGTGTGCGGTTCTCATTGTATACAGTTTAAACTATCAAATTTTAAGTCTCAGTATTCCATCCCTAGCAGAAGGTTAGTGGCGACCAAACCAAGGTCGAGGAAATATTGCTTGCCGAATTAAGTCGTGTGGATGAATGCAGACTGTCCGGTCGAAGTCCGTGCGATAACGTCGACCAACGGCTTAATTCGTTAGATGATATGACCCAAAATCAATCACTGATGTAAATGTATTAACTCCTAGTCCTCTCCTAAATCTTTAGTCCCATAATTTCTCCATACATACATTTGCATTACCTTCTAAACCATGCTTTTAGTATTTAGTCTTTCTCATTGATTCCACTAATAGTCTTAATTTCACTTAGTTATACTGATTTTGCATTGTAAACTGGTTTAACGCAATTTTTTTCAGGTGCTAAGCCGATTGGTAATCGACTAAAAAGCATAAATTAAATCGAGTCATATCAAGAACTATAAAATAGCTCGTAAAGTCGCTTTCTACTTTGGAGAACTTATAAATACTGAATTTTAGATGAATTCTTACTATAAAAAGTAGTTTAATCTTACTAGATATTGGCTTGCTTACGAACAATACTTTTTTGAGTAGCATACTGAATTAAGCTCTTCTAAAAATCTACTCAACTGACTAAATTTATGTGCCGCACAATCGTTGAGGGGTAGTTATGAATATAGTCCGAAGTTCTTACAAAGTAGTTCATGTATCTTTGTTTGCTTCAGGCACTTAAGCATATAGGGTCAGTTGTATTATTTTTTATGATTTCAATAGTATTTAATGAAACCGACAGTATCGCCTATTAAGGCTCTTTAGATTTGAGATTTTTCATATAAAAATGATCCTTTATTTCAGAAAAACTTGGAGCCAATGCTATATTGGGAGTGTCTTTGGCTGTGTGCAAAGCTGGTGCAGCTGAAGCCGTGAGTTATGTTGAAGTTGTACTGTCTAATCAATGTATAGAAATAGAAACTAAATTTATGTTAGTTTATTTGGCACATTTAATATTAGATATGACCTATAAACTTAAGCAATAAGCCCAGTTATTGAGACTTCAGTTTTGTACTCCTACAATTTGTTTTTCATTAAAAATTTACTTTCGGTTTCTCTTGTCTCAGGGTTTACCTCTCTATAGGTATATTGCGAGGTTAGCTGGGCATGAAGATGTTATAATGCCTGTTCCAGCATTCAATGTCATTAATGGTGGAAGTCATGCCGGTAACAAGCTAGCCATGCAAGAATTTATGATTCTGCCTACTGGGGCCAGCTCTTTCACTGAAGCAATGCAAATCGGTACTGAGGTGTACCACAATTTAAAAGCTGTTATCAAACGTGAATATGGACTGGATGCATGCAACGTTGGTGACGAAGGTGGTTTTGCACCGAATATACAGGATAACATGAAAGGTAGGCTTGGCAGTTTATTAGGTAACCTTTGTTAGTTTCTTCGTCTTTTTTTAATATATCAAACTTAAATTACTGTATGCTTTAATTTATTTAGTCTCATATGATCAATCCATCACTAACCACAACACACTAAAAAGTGAAATCCGTAACAATTAAACATTAAATTAAATGTGAGGTAAAATATCCTTTTTTGAAGCGACTAGATGACGTCTTATCTTTAGTCAGTTTTGGACCATATCATCCTATTTTAAACTGTTTAGGACTTCAACCGTAAAGCTTATCTAGGTTAAATCAATAACTTAAGACTTCATTCAGGATCCTAGACACTGTCCAATGCTGTCAAGTAAAAACTATTTAGTTACAGCATTGGTTGGAACTTGTTCTGTAAACCATCTAGACTACTTAATAAAATAACTCTTCCTACAAAACTAGTAACTAAATCGACAGCACAGACTAATTAGTAATTTCTCATTGGAGTGTTTGGTTAGGTTACTAGATCAATATTAGTGTAAGTTCACTAATGGTCTATAAACTGTCTCAATTCCAAATAGTTTATCGGCATTTGGTAAGAAATAGAAGAGCCTCAAAGTTTAATAGTTTATTAATTCAAAGCACCTTTTTCTTATGTATGAGGCAGGATTTTGTTTCCCTTTATAGAGGTGACAGTCAAGACATGACACTTCGTACAATTACTCGTGTGGGTAGTTAATAATTATGCCTATTTCTTTTTAGTTATAGTTTTCATAGATTGTTTGTACTCATAAAGCTGTAATATTTCCAGGTCTTCAGCTGCTTGAAGAGGCCATAAAAATTGCTGGCTATACTGGGAAAGTAGAGATTGGTATGGATTGTGCGGCTTCTGAGTTCCATAAGAATGGGAAATATGATTTAGATTTCAAGAACCCTCATTCTGCAGAATCAACCTGGCTTAGTCCTGATGCAATGGCTAATATATACAAGCAAATGATAAGCAAATTTCCAATTGTTAGCATTGAAGATCCATTTGATCAGGATGATTGGGAAACCTGGCCCAAACTAACTTCTTCAACAAATATTCAAGTAATAGAATTAGTCCTAACAAGACCTAACTTTTGTCTATTTTCTTAACCTAGAGGTCACACTTTTTTGTTTAATTCATAACTGTCAGATGTCCCGCGTTCGACAAGTTGCTGTTAATACTTTTAGAAACCATTTGTCCAAAAGTCCTCAAGTTTGGTGCCTCATTATCAGTTAGACTAGTTGGGACACAAATCAGGGTGTGAAAATTTGACTGTAATCCATCTTACCGATCTTGTTCTCTGGTCATCTCAGTTTATAATGAATGGAGAAGTCGATGCAATTAATATGGTTGACTAAGTATCAGGTTCCGTGGTTGTCCCCAAATGCCCTGGTATGGCCGAGAGTGTGGGAGAGTCAGCCATCCCTCTCGAAATATCCTCACACGGCCACGTGTATACAACCACTGACAGGGAAGACCTACTTACTGCCTTCTCGCGTCGAGGGTGTTGTTTACGAAATTGAGAGAACGAAAATAGAATGTCTGAGGCTTTAACCTGGTTGGTTGACACGAAGGGTCCACCCAGGGGAGTTGGAAAACCCTGATTCCAAACCAATGGTGCACATGGGCTCCAGAATCCTGAGGAAACAAAAGGCGTATGAACCAATCGTTGGTCACCGGCTATCATGGAACTGCATCTCCTCATGATGCTCCACTGCCTTATGTATTAAACCTTTAGTTCGAAGGCTTCGGGTGTGCCCCCCCTAAGAAAACCACCTGTTTCAGTTTGGGCACCCGAGGAGTATCGTAGCTATCACACAAATCAAGTGACTTGTTTGGCACGTATCTATTTGGTGCTTCCTTGTACCGTAGTTTATGTTTAAATAATTATAAAGGTTCCGTGGTCATCAAATGTCTAAATAGAAATAGAAAACCCCGGAAAACCAGAATGGCTTTAAAATTTTCGTTAAGGAATTCGTCAAATATTCATTCTTTCATGGGTTTCACATCATTGACATATGGCCGACTGTAGTTGTATTTTTTGGTCGAAATTCGGCACTCAACTACGTCGATCAAAAGGTATTGTTCTAGTTTGTATTATAAAATATGCTCTTAAAATGTTCATTAACTTACCAAAAGCCTTTTATTCTAATACTAGTAGTTGAATCTGACCTAATAGGACATTATCTGAATTGGTAACGTCAAGTCCTCTCTGTCAGGAATTCTTTTTCCATTTTAAACCTATTTTTCTATCGTATTTTAGGAGATACCGCTTTTCGGGATTAGTATTTTATATGTTGAGACTTATCCACACAAGTAACAGTTCTGTTAAGCAAAAATTACAAAATTCCTCAAGTGACAGTAATGTAATACTAAGATTACATTCCTCTCCTCTGCTTCCAAGCAATATTTTTTGATCATTTTAATGACATCTTAAAAATGAGACCAAGACCCTGCACACTTTGTGATGGATCAAAA